TTAAAGCAACCATGTTGACACGTATTCATTAATGAAACATAGCAACAACACCGGGTAACAGTGAAACAAAGTTTGAAGGCAAAACAGTAAAAAATATGAAGAATGTTCCAAAAACATCAAACATCAAGAAGTCACATGTGGACACCGGGGCAAATATGTATGAACAGTCCAATATTTTAAAGGTAAATTTTAAAAACAATTTTTTTTAAAAGGTTTCAGCTATTGTTGAAGGACATATTTAAAAAAAAAATATATATATATATATATATAAACTCAGAATCGGAAAATATGATAAAACTCTTGATATTCCATCATTTTATTTATATGCATAACCACCACATCACTTTTGTGCTTGAACTTTGTCAAACCATTATGTCAATAGATTTAACTAAGTCGGTTTACATTACTACTGATACATGTCTTTTTTCTTCAGCAACTGGACATGATCATTGCACATTGTTATTTTGATAATATTGATTTGTTGACCAAACAGTACCACATCGGATGGCTCAAAATAATGTCAACACTGGTTTATTTATCATCATTCAATACGTCATTTTCTTATTTATACAGAACTATCCAACTTCACCATAACGTTAATATTGTCCATATTTATTGATATATAATGACCTACTTTTATAAAGCAATGAATTGTTTATTTATTTTTTTTTTAAATGTTAGTAGTGTTAGCACAAAGCTGTGTTTATGATTCACACTTACCTAACAAGACAGAAAGATAAGAATTGTATCTGATGTTTTGTAAAACTACTGTTATAAATGCATTTTTTATTTGGCCATTCCTGTAACTAGCAGTGTAGTATGAAATAGTTCTCTCTGAGGTGATTTATCATACATTTAATGTCAAGTTAAACTCCATTTAAACCCCTACCAGTCTAACTCCAAACCAATCTTAACTCAGAAAATATCACATTTTAATAAATTCACTTACAGAGTAAGCATCGAACCACTCTTGGCTTTAAATGGTTTGCAAATTAAATGGGGAAAAAATGGACATGGCAGATTCTAATCAAGAAAACTGAACCTAGAGCTCAACAATCTGCAGGAGCTATTCAAAAATGTATAACTGAGATTCAAAAAACAAGTAGACCTGTAAAAAATGTTGTTAGTTAAAAAAAAAAAAAGCAAGCTACAAAATATATCTTAAGGCTCCATTTATGACTGACATTGTTGTCAAAGTTTACAACAACCATTCTGCAAAATTTCCACCAAGGTTCAATACAAAGGGGGTAATGTCTGTAGTAGATGGGAATTTACTTTTAAAACATTCACAATTCAAAGATATTTAACAATACAAAATTTTAGTGTTCATTTAAATTTATAAAAAAGAAGAAGGAAAAAAAACCATGACTGATTTTGTGTAACAAGATGGCTGGAGAATTTTTCTTAATTTTCTTAACGATTACAGCAACAATATATTTATATACATTTATATATAATCTGGCACTTCACGGACACAACAAATGTGTCAAAAGTTATGTACATTTGATATAAATAGCTGAACATTTCATGGTCAATGTCATATACAAATCTGCAGCCGTACATAAAGAGCATAACATTTTTAAAGTGAGCTGTTAAATTCATTGAAAATTTACAACATCCAAGCAATGTATAGGAAATAATAAATATATATATTTTAAACAAGTTTTCATTTTTTAGTTGAACGTTTCAAACTTTCAGTGAATAACGTAAATTTAAAAAAAATAAAATTATGTTAAAACTTCCTCTACTTGAATCCAAAACATTAGGTTCAACCATTAAAATAAAATAGTAGATTATTTGTAAAAGAAAAAATTTAAAACAGTATTTGATGGTTGTTAACCTCATAACACAGACAAAATTTCTTGAGGGTTTGTACAGCAAAAATCAACAATAGCAATGTAACATGCATCTGACACATGCAAATGGATGTGTAAACTGACATTATTTAAGTTCAAATTGGATTTTATGCTTCATGCATTTTAAACAGTTTATTGAGATTAGTTGCTGATATCTGTCAGCCTATAATTAAAAAACCAGGGTGTGGAGTTGGAATGCAGCAGATGATGTCACAGATGGCTTATCATCCATTGCAGAAAAAAAAAAATTAACTTTCCCCAAAATTATTACAGATTGGATCTTTATTTTTTTTTTTTCAAAATGAATTTAGCTTTCAAGAGATTATTAGGACTAGCACCAAAAAATATTGGACTCATTCTCAACATCTCAGAGAGGAGCTGGCTGAAAACTGAAGACCTATCTTTTAAAATAAATGACTAAACAACTATTATCTGTTAGTGCGTTGAACCTTTGATTTAAATGCTACATAAAATGGCAATCTCCATTTCCATCCACCACTCTATGCCTCTCCATCCATCCATCCACCACTCTATGCCTCTCCATCCATCCACTCTAGGCAACTCCATGCATCATCCATCCACTCTAGGCAACTCCATGCATCATCCATCCACTCTAGGCTCTTTCTCATGAGATATGTTTTGCAAACAAATTAAAATAACTACTGATTGATAATGCCAGAAAACATACTTGGGTACTTCATCAATATTACCCTTTGTCTGCTTAACCCTGACATGAGATCCAAGTTAGAAGTAAGATACCAGTGCTAAGAGGGTGCCCTCATCTATGTTCTAGATGTATTTTGCCATTTCCTTGTTCTATGTCTGTTTATGACCACTGATCAGTTCCAACCCTTCTACTTCCCCAAGGAGAATGCTTCGGTAAATCAACAGTGATATTTGAAATTTGCTTGAACGAAATTTCGTAGACGGAAAATTGATAGACGGAAATTTGATTGAATCTTTTTTTTCAGTTCATATGTCAAAATTTTGCGTCAAATTTCTTTTTGAACGCATTATTTTGTTTTACTCTATAATATAGTGCATTCAAAAAGAAATTTGAAGAAAATTTAAACGTGTGAACTGAAATAAAGATTCTACCAAATTTCCGGTTATCCATTTTCTGTCAACGAAATTTCTTTCAGCTTTCAAACAAATTTCCGGTAACCTTTTCAATTTTATTAATCCCCCCCCCCCCTTCCCTGAACCCAGAGAGTCTCATCCAACCCACTTTAAAACAATATTACTGAGTTTACAGGAATTGCTTTGAGGTGGGGAAGTCTTCAGTCATACTCTCCAACACCAAAACTACAGCAGGCAGACCAACACATTTTTTAAGCATGGGCTGAGAGTACAATAAATTTTCATGCCACAACGTGTGACAGAAGTTAGAATCATTCCAATAACACAGCTATGGTTGAGAACAGGCATTTAAAGCACTGGAACATGGATAAACAATAATTTCAAGATAACAGGAGCCCTATAACAATACCCAGGGCCATGGTTACTACGAGGATGACAATGATGACGACGATGGCGGTGAGAGGCATGACTGTGTATTCTCGAGGTCGAAGATTTCCTTAAGGAGCGGCATGACCTGGCTGAAATCGGGTGTAGTGTCGAACACGTGGGCTCGGAGGTTGTCACTGAACTGTTCAACAATTTGGCAGAGGTCGGGGACCAGCATCACAAGTTTGGCCAGGAGAACCTAGCAAAATGAAACACAGGCCAAATTATTTTTTCATGTAAAGTTTAAAAGTATAAATTTTAAGCTCATTGTTGAATATTTTAAATACCAAATGCATCCATTACCCATTATTAGATATAAAATATGTACAAACACCATTTTCAGTCTCTAACTAGAAAAGAACTAGATATAATATAGACACAAGTTCATGGAGCTCAAAAGACTCTTAAAATCTCTAATCCTCTATTATATTCTTATTCTGAAATCTTGGAAAATCTAACTTCTCGCAATAAAAATGGCAAACGCTTAAGCTTTTTTTACTAGTTTCTATTCCTTGTTGTATTTTCATTTGTCCTGTTTGCAGAGGAAGGCCCTTAGCCAAAACGTTCTTCTCATATTGTCCTGTCTTTTGATTCAAGTTTCCACATACTTTATTCTACTATTTCCTTCTGTTTCTACTGTTAGGTTTCAAAATCAGACAGCTAGCAACCCTAAAACTAGTGCCCTCATCCCACACACCCTAAAACCAACACCCTCCCCCACACACACATTCTGAAACTAACACCTTCGCCATACACACACACAAAAACTAACACCCTCCCCACAAACCCCCCAAAAATAACACCCTCCCCTCACACACTCTAATACTAGTTCTGGTGGGACCCTGTTTTAGTGCAACCTGCACTGGTGCAACCTGCACTGGTGCAACCTACTCTTGTGGCCCACTTTTTGGGTGGCACCCTGCTCTGTAGAAACCAACTTAATCAAACTTTGGATTTTCCATTTCATGTCCCCACCCTTTGACGGTGTCCGTGGTCTGCACCCGCCCCCTCGTTCCGCCACTGCTACAACTCTTACTACAACTATTACGCAATACAAATCAGAATTCAACTGTAACAGCATTATTTATATGGCGGAGGGGCTCTCCTACTAACTCCCAGATTATGTTTTCAGCCATTTCGTGATAATTTCAAAAAATGCTTTGCCTGTTAAATACAGTAACTGTAACAAAACCTACATCGTAGGCAACTTTTGCCTTACCTTCTCCTTGGGATGGTTGTGTTTCAAGTCAAGCCTCAGAGCCTCTATGAGATTGGCCTGGAGCTCCTCTACAAGGAGTGGTGAAGACAAGTTGGGGCAGTCTGCAAGGAAGATATTGAAATACAAGCTTGACAAAATTATAAATATTCTTACCAACTACACATGCCAGTCGGCATGCCACATTAAACCACAAGTTTATAAAATTAAAACATCAATAAAATGGCCAATTATGGCAATAAAACTGAAATTGACCAATATTGATCCCCCCGAGAGTCTGTGCTTAATTATTGCTGGGAACCAATGTTATCAATTAACATAAAGCTTACCTTGTGTAAGAAGAACAGCGGAGAAAAGAGCCAGCTCTCCTGTGGTCAGACCGAACCCATGGACCCTGTCCATTACCGCCATGGTGTGGCCCAGAAGGCGGGTCATTTGTTCACAGATGTAGTAGGAATTTCTTCTCACTCGCAAACAGCCCTCCCTGGTGTCCAGCTGGATAAAGCTTGGACTCACGAGTGAGTGGAGCTGTTGAGACAATTATGAAATAATTGTACAATAGCATTACAACTTATTAGTGATAGCAAAGATCCTGAACATCAAATGGTCAAAAATCATCACCAGCAAAGACAAAATGGAAGGACATACTAAGAGCCTTTTGCTGAAGACATCATAAGGAAAAGATGGAGCTTGATAATGATAGGGCACACTTTACATAAACCCCCAGATAACATCACCATGCAATCCCTGAATATGGAATTGGAATCCACAGTGAAAAAGAAAGAGAGGAAGGCCAAAGAATACATGGAGACGCGAGCTTGGGGCAGACACACAAAGTACAGGATACACCTGGAAGCAAATGAAAAGGAAAGCACAGGACTGAGATGAATGGAAAATTCTTGTAGATTGCCTATGCCCAAGGTGGGGTAAAAGGCATATGACCCAGGTGGGGTAAAACGCCTATGCCCCAGGTGGGGTAAAAGTAAAAGGCATAAGTAAGTAAGTGGGGATATCAAATCATTTGAACAAGTCAGATTAGGACCAGTCCCTACTTTATTTATATTATAAACTTACTTTTACATGTTTTCCTAGGTAGCTATGCATACTTTTGAATCGAGTAAGAAACAAAAGTAACACTAGCAGCTTTTCCCATGAAGTTCAACACTTCAACATATCCCCTCCCCAAGCACACACTGGTACTGGTATAGTATAATACTGACTAAATAACAGTCCATATTCATATTAATTCAGTGATGCTAAATAACAGCCCATAATATTAGTATATTAATATTAATATTGATTCAGTGATGACCAACAGCTAAGCCATCAAGATTATTTGTAAAAATTTTAAATATGAATGCATCCATAATCAGAGATCCTATTACTTATGTGTTGACATTATTAAAGTTTTTATTAAAGAATGATTTCATATTACATGTTTAGAGCAATTGGCAATAGTAATAGTAATTAATTATGTCACCCCAAAAGTTGCCAAAAGTTAAAAAGTCCACATGCTACATTCACCAGCTGAAGGACCAGTGATTGCAAAACTCAAATTTACTAAAGAATAGAGAGCCAAGCCGGAGAACTACTCACCGCCAAATGTACAACCATAAATCCATTCCTTTTCATCAACATAATCTGATCTCGCATGGCGAACGACGTGAACCCTGGAATCTTCTTCGCGAACCGCACGCTGGCCTCCATCACCGGTAAAACCAGCTCCTGAAACCGACGGAAGATTCCGTGAGAGAAAAACTGTTCACTGGTCAGTGTGTCCAGTACCTCGGGGGCCTCCATCAGCTGAGAAAATAAAGAAAGTCTCATGTCAATTCGGCCTACACACCAAGTGAAAGTGGAATGACCATTCCAATGCAGTCCGATCTCCGATTCATCTTCACACGACGAACACAAACAAGATAAATAAATAAACAAACTACCAACCAAGTTTTCGGCAGCTGCTATGATTGGCGGTGACGGTGTAGTGGGCGTGGCTGAGGACGGTGAAGACGATGCAGACGACAAAAAAAAGTGCGGCTGTGACCCCGGCACCTTGAGGCCGTGGAACGGCTGTTGTTGATGATGCGGATGCTGTGCTGGCTTGTGCTTGAAGAAGACTGTGTTCCCGAAGGTGTCCCGGAAGGCGGCCTTGATGAGGTCGGTCAGAGACCGGAGTTCAACAATCCTCCGCGAGCTGGTACTGGTGAGCTCCTCTCTGTCTGCCAGAAGTTTTTCCCGTTCAACTTTGGGCATGCGTCCAAATCTCACAGCTGAAACATACAGAGCTAGTTTTCAATACGGCATCGCTTTTCTCAAACGTTCAATACAGGTGAGGGCGGTCTGCGGAGTCCATAATGTGCAACAATGTGAAACATGAGGGTTGGTATGGGGGGGGGGGGGGAGGGGGGGGATTCTAACATGGAAAATGTGGTAGGAGGATTTGTTATTCGTAACAAAGGATGGTAGGAATTTTAATTCATAATAGTAATAATAGTTATATGGGACTGGAGGATTCCTTCTACATAGCATGGGATGAGAGGATTACTAGTACGTAAGATGAGATGAGATGAGAGGATTCCTTATTCGTAACGTAGGATGGCAGGATTCGTAATACATAATAAGGGATGGGAGGGTTCTTAATCCGTAACATGTGGTGGGAGACTCCCTAATTATATGTGACATGTGGATGGAGCATTCCTCGTGTGTAACACGTGGTAGCTTTACATGTAGCCCTGGTCACAAATTATGCTTCTGTATAAATACATATATACATAGAATAGATCGATGTTTAAAATTATGGGTTAGTTCAAAATAAGCGTCGCCAATGTTTCAAACGCAGACACAACACAGCATCATTTATAGCGCACAGCCAGACAAGAGAGTGCACAGACAAGAGTTATAGCACACAGACAAGAGTTGTAGCGCACATCCTTTCAAGAGTTTTAGCAGACAGTCATACAAGAGTTCTAGCACACATACAAGAGTTCTAGCACACAGACAAGAGTTATAGCACACAGACAAGAGTTATAAATTATAACACACAGACACGAGTTATAGCACACATACTTTTAAGAGTTTTAGCAGAGAGACACACAAGAGTTATAGGACACATACAAGAGTTATAACACACATACAAGTACAAGAGTTACAGCAGAAACACGTAAAAGAGATATAGCAAGGGGGTAGCACTAGCTCTTCTATACTTCTTAATGTTGTGCTTAATACTTAATGTGCTACTTAAATACATGCCCCTTTAAAAGGTAGAGTCAGACCCCTACAAAGGTAGAGTCAGGCGCCTTCAAAAGGTAGCGTCAGGTCGCTTCAAAACTAGGTAGTGTTAGGCCCCTACAAAGGTAGAGTCAAGCCTCTCAAAAGCTTGTCTCACCCTTATCTAAACCATTGAATGCCACTTAGTGACGTAATTGTGAGACTATCAGGTCCATGTGAATGCTAGGCCCGAGAGGCCCTGATTAAATGTATATTATTATACAATACACCCCAATTCCCATCAATCTCTCGGAAGAAGTAAAAATACATCTTAATACATCAATAGCAACCTATGTTAAGGTTTAAAAAACAACAACAACAACAGCAGCAACCTATGTTAAGGTTTAAAAAACAACAACAACAGCAGCAGCAACCTATGTTAAGGTTTAAAAAACAACAACAACAGCAGCAACCTATGTTAAGGTTTAAAAAACAACAACAACAACAGCAGCAACCTATGTTAAGGTTTAAAAAACAACAACAACAACAGCAGCAACCTATGTTAAGGTTTAAACAACAACAACAGCAGCAACCTATGTTAAGGTTTAAAACAACAACAACAGCAGCAACCTATGTTAAGGTTTAAAACAACAACAACAACAGCAGCAACCTATGTTAAGGTTTAAAACAACAACAACAGCAGCAACCTATGTTAAGGTTTAAAAAACAACAACAGCAGCAACCTATGTTAAGGTTTAAAACAACAACAACAGCAGCAACCTATGTTTAGTAAAGTGGACACTCACCGTCCTGCGACATGCCAGCGAAAAGACATCTCTGGTAGCGGCAGTACTGACATTTGTTCCTCGTGCCCGTGTCAATCTTGCACCGCGACCCGGCCTGGCACGGCTTGTACACCAGCTGCTTCTTTAACGTCCTCCTGAAGAAACCCTGTTGAGTGTGAGTTGGGGGGGGGGGGTAAGCGTAAGTTTAGACTTAGTTATGTACTCCAATCATGGGCCCCCCCGCAGGTAGGAGCAAGGTGGGCACTACCCCCCCCCCCTGGATTGATTGGATAAATTTTTTTAGACAAAAATAGACAAAAAAAAATATTAAAATAAAGAGAAAATAAAGAGAAAGTAACTAAGCTGATGTCCTGTCCGTTCGTTCACCATACAAATACGCTACAGTAAATTAAAACTATATTAAAACATTACTAAAAA